AAGGACCGGGAGGATCTTGTGGGAGAAGCAGCGCCGCCATCACCCATGGAGACCTTCGAGGTGGAAGGGCCTGGCACGTCCGAGCTGATGTGCCCCCTAGCAGTATGATCTGTCTGACCGTTCATAGTGGCAAAAAAAATGAGGCGGGTATTAATAAGTGAATTTTGGAGGGTGGAAAGTAGAGAGGAAGACTACAACACAAAATGTGTGGAATAGGGAAGAGCATGGCAGATGTTTCATGCAGAACTGCGGTCATGTGGAGGACAGCGCATAATTGGCCGACCTGCCTCGGTTCTCAGTTTGTAACAATCGGAGGCGATGATGTCGACTGCTACTGGGGAAACTTAGTGACATAATCAATGCTCTACCTATCAACTGGATTTTGGCGAAAAGTCGGATCGGCAATACGCTATGGCGGGTTACTGGCAGAGAGTGCCAAGGATGATACAGACAGGAGGTATCACATCCTCCCCCCTTTCCTAACCTCTGCTGCAAAAATACCATGCTGCGACAAGCCTCTGACTTGATTCCCATGGTGTTATATGGGAGGCAGACACTGGACTCTTGGCAAGTGAGGCGGATCTGAGATCGCCAAAAAAACTGACGTGTCGTGAGGACCATCTGTCGCGGGAAAAAGTGTGCCACTTGTGTGGATCGAACACACGGCCTTCTGCTTACGAGGCAGACGCTCTGCCACTGAGCTAAAGTGGCGCATCTTTCTTCCCGATACCATTTTTGATCTTTGGAATTTCTAAGATACAAACGCGGTTTCCCCACTGCAACAAAGAGGGCGCTCCCCCTTTCAAATGCAGACAAGCGAAGAAGGACCCCCTGACGGCACGCGCACGCAAGCGCCAACGCGCAACAGCACCGGCGACGCACCGACAGAGAATTCGCATGGCCCTAAACATGCACCCGACAGCGACCCTGACCAGGCCGTTGCCCCCCACCCCAAGGAGCGCAGCTATGCAGAAGTAGCACGCTCACCAGCCCAGGCACCGCCCACCGCGCCTCTCGCAAAAAAGGTGAAAAAACGACACCCGCAGGCCAAGCCGGCGCCTCCGCCCAGACTGTGCATCCGCACAACAAGCGTAGACCCACGCTGCCTGACAGCTGTCATGGCAGCAGTCAAGCAAGCCGACGTAAAACCCCTCGGCTTTTGGCAGGAGGACGACCGCGTGGCTGTCTACCTCCACAGCATGAGGGACGTCCAGCGCTTGACCCGTGTCCCAGTAAAGACCGGCGACACGACCCTCCACTGGGGCCTGGATAACGGCCAATTCGCCCACGCAGTAATTGTCACGAATGTCAGGCCAGA